GATTTACAAAAAATTATGTTCAGGAGCAGTTTTATTTTGTAACTTTACGTACTTCCGTATTTTAAAATGAAAAAAAGACTACTAAAAATTGCATAAAATTTGCAGTAAAACGATTATAAAAGAAAACATCTGTATTTGAAGAATTGTTTTTAGAATTTTCAATCATATATTTAACAAAATTGGTTGAATTTAGGAATATTTATTTATTTCATCAAAAATAAAACACCTGGATTCTATTTTTGGAAATCATTAAAAAAAAATAGACATAGCATTTCACTCAACAGTCGTTCCAAGGGAAATCACAGGTAAAAAGTCCAATGTTATTTTTTTTTTAATTTCATGAAGAAAAGAGATAACATTATACCTTTTCTGACATCTTTGTAAGTAGTTACAAATATTGGAATATTCGGAATATTGACCCTTGAGTCTTGCCTGCAATCTGAGGGGACGGGTCAACCGAGAGACCTCCCAGGAATCGAAAAAAAATCTAATACAATTTCCCATACAGCAGAAAATTGATCCCGAAATCCAATTTATTGATAGCATTACGGCAGATTTCGCGAAGGAGAAAAGTAAGTCTTTCGGCTGCAGACGGAGCAGTCAATTTTCCGCCACCTGGCAATCATAATATTCCGCACGCTCCTTTTTGCCCTTTTCAAAGTCACAGTCGTCGCCGCCGAACGGAGCAGCTACTTGCAATTTCAGAGTGCGCTAAGGGGATTATCGGTGATCACGCGCGCGCGGTGCGGCCAAAGTCGATTTACTTGAATGGAAAATCATATCTGCAGCGCTCACTTCATTGAATCCCCGCCCGAGAAAACGTACCAGAGACCGATCCCGAGAAGCACGTATGGCAAGAGAAAAAAGTATGAGAGGAAAATAGCGCGGCCCCTTTTTACAATGCCGTTTGCTTAAACTTAATAATAAAGTAAAATATTCACATATTCCGCACGCTGGGTCTGAAATTGGCGACAAACCTTTCAACCTAACCTTGGGCAGTGCACGATAAGGACTTTAAAAGAATTTTTGATAAATAAAGTTTTGTGTAAAGAGCGATTCGACATACCCAATGAACTTTTGACGATACATCTGATGTTAAAAAAAAAAAACAGAATAAAAGCAAAAAATATTCGGTAACAAACAAAAGTGTTCAAAAGATTAATTAAGCTTCAATTGTATTCTTTTAGAGAGAAATTTACAGGCTAACATTTAGTTAGTACAGAGTCAAGTGAGTAGCAGCAAATTTCATAATATTATTCAAATGAGTATTTTTGGCGGAGAGGAACTAAAATCTTTATTCTTATAACACCTAAAATCATTCATTTTCGTGGCATATTAAGTTATTATAATAAAACACTTATCAAACTTTGTACGCTGATTTTTTTTTGTTGATAATAAATATTGTATTGAAAGAAAAACATGAAAGGTCCATAGGAAAATGAACTGCGAGGGTGATCACTTCCCGAGGAATTAAAACACCCACAGGGGGAAACATAAATAAACATTGACTTTTCCAATTAGCGTCGGCGGAATCACCTTATCTGTAATTGAATCGGCGCGAAAGCATTTCATAAAGCGATAAATCTGAGTTTGGTTGCTGCGATGCCCTCCCTCTCGCGGAGGGTATTTCATTAAATGAGAGCGAACGATGGTGGTGAAGATAATCAAAAATCAATTCATCTCCCGCCTGTGCAAAAATAATATTATTTTAGCTGTCGATTTTAGAGCACGGAACACACGCCGGTTGCCGCCTTTCCCAGCACGGCGGGTTTGGTCGCGCATTAAATAATTTAGCGGCGCGGCAATAAAAACGAGATCGAGCTGCGCGGCGGAGCCTGAATAAAAAATCACTTTTCCAGGGGACTCCGAAATCATTTTTATTGCCGCCGCGTCGGTTGAGGAATTCGAATGAGAGCACTCGAAGAGGATGCATTTTATGGCTCTTTGCCTCGGAATTACGCGGCACGTGCCAAGACATGGAGAATGGAAAAGTGCACTTGGAATTAAAAAAAGCAGACTGCGTGCTGATCGAGTTGGAAAAGCAGCAGGGGGTGCTATAATAGTAAATCAAAGCAAAACTTTGCAAAAGATTTAAAAAATAAAAAATTTAGCCCAAAACAGCATTGGTTTATTATTATTTTATTCTAAAAATAAAATTTTGGATTCACTGATAACAAATAAAAAACTTTAAATAGTTTTCCCCCAATATACAAAACAAGCATGAATTTTCAATTTTGGTTGTATTTACCTGAGGCAACTCAAAATTGTGAAATGAATGAACATGTACAGTGTATTTACTTCTTCTCTTTGCACGGGCTCAACATACCGAAAAACCTTGACGAACCGAGAATTAATTATGCCAGAGAGCTGCGCACGTCCGCAAAAACAAATTCGCTCCGGCTCTCTCGTTTTCTCCTCAGAGGGTTTCGCGAAATTCGTGAGGAAAGCGAGAGTTTCACCGTGAAAGGGAGGCTTTGCGTTGCGAGAAAGAGAGAGAAACGCGAAGAAAAGCAGGCCGTTCTCATTTTATGGTGCACAAAACACACGAGTGCACTCAATATATTGAGAGTGGCCGCCTGTTTATCAGTCGGAAAATGCACTCGAGCAAAAAAGGAGAAACGCTCTCGCTCGCTCGCTGCCTTTTCCAGCGGCGGAGACAGGAAAATTGAGCGGCAAGAAAAAGGCCGCGCTCGTCTTTTTGCAGAATGCGTGTTTTACTGCGGCCCGAGTTGGCTTTTTAGACTTTAATATCGTTCGTTCCCTCTCTCTAAAAAGGCACAGAAAACCAGAATGGGTGCGCGACCCAACCAACCATCGACGACGACGAATTTTTTGTCATGTAAAGGAAAGGTTCAATTTGTCTCAACGAAATTACATACAAAACATCTATGATATTATACGGATAGAAGACACAAGAAAATTGGTTGGCATGCAAATTATAATTAAATTCTGATGGGAATGTTGAACAAACAATTATATTAATTTTTCTAATTATTTGATTTTTCGTTCAAGTTTCTTAAAACAATTTACTCAATAGCTGAAGCAGACATTCCGCGTATCCTTTGAAATTTAGATCTTTGTACAGTAAACCAAAGCCAATAAAAATATATGGGGAGGTTCTCGCCTTTTATATAAAATATTAAAGATCTGGGGTTGAAAGAGTAATTTCTAACAATTCTTCCATCAGTTGGTGGGCAAAGGGGATTTAAACTGTGTAATATGTAATATTATCAACAAAAAGATCCCAGGTCTTTATTGTTTCACCAAAATATAATATAGCTATCCAAATTCTAAGCCAATTGAAGTAATGGAATAATGTAAATAATAAAAAAAATGTAATAAAAATTGAGTTAATTTCAGTTATTAAATTAATATGAAATGACTGAAATTTTGTCATTGGATGTAACAATATAATCAATATAAAATATTTGACTTTTCATTTTGTTCATAAATTCTTCGATGTAAGTGAAGCATTTTTTTTAAGCTTTTATTGAGAAGCTTTAATTTTAGGGGAGGGAGCTTCAGCTTACCCTTGAAGCAATGTGCGGGTACAGAACTAATTTCATTGCTTTTTCCTCCTCACTTCTTTATTCTTTGAAAAGAAAATTGGCCGGGGCTAAATTGCAGCGTCCGGGCCTCTGCCGATTTGCACAAAACAAATCCAGCCAATTTGGCGCAAGTGAGGCGGAAAAGGCAAAATTGCGGGTGTGGAGAAAGATGGGCGGCCCGCCGACTCTAATTCAATATAGCCGCACCTGTGTGTGTCTCGACGTCTCTCGTGGTCGGACGGATGGATGGATGGATACAATCAGATTTCTGCTCTCGAAATTGCTTTACGCGTGCAAAGATCAAAGGGCGCGGCGTTTCTTGATGGCCAGAAAGGCTGTGCGAGGGAAGGAATATTGCTCTCGGTGCTCAACACACACACATACTACGTCTGGAGCAACTCATGCGGCACATTGCGCGCACACCAAGCGTGGAGTATTGCTCCAATTGCATGGGGCAATGAGCTTGTTCCAACCGTTTTCACAAAAGACTCGCTGGGAAACGTCTTGCGGGGATAAATAATCATTTAGCATAGCAATAAACTGTTTACTTGAGTTTAATTAAACAGGGCAATTAATAAGTAAAAATTTGGTTTTGAAAACAGAAAAGGAAAATCTGCTACAAAATAAGAAGACTTTATTATTGTTGAAATAAAAAAAAACATAACATTTTTAATGATGATATAATATTTTTAGCAATAAAATATTGTTGTTTATAATGAATATTAAAGATTAAAAAACAAATATTATTCATGTTATAAAAAAAATAATAAAAAAAGGAAAAAAATGTAATTTAAAATTAAGTTTAGGTAAAATTGTGATAAAATTTTTTGAAAACTAGATTTTAATAAATTTTGCAATGCAGAACAATTTTATTTTGAAGAACAACAGCGTGCTAGGAAAGGCCTATTGAATCTCCTGTCCGACAGCTGGCTGGTCCGTCACTTGCATGCATTCTGATTAATGCAGGGATAAAAAGCGGCACATCGGAAAAGCTGTGATGGCCCCGAGAGTGGCGGGAAAGACCAACATATGGGCGGATAAGAGCACGAACAATTTGTCTCAGGCAAATCCGGGCCGACTTAAAGTCTTATCTGATCAGGTCTGACTGAGTGCGCCCTAAACTTTTTATCAACTCCATCCTTAATCAAAAAGTGTGCGCGAGAAATCCTCAGGGCAATCGCTTTTATTCGTGTCTAACGCCCGCGCATCAACCGCCTAGAAGAAATCTGATCACCGCAGAAACAAAGAAGGAGGACAAGTTTTTTGCCGGTGGTGCAAAGCAGACAATAAGTCTTTCTAGCTCCCACCGAGAGAGCAAAAAGTTTGTTTTGCAACGTGATAGTCTGCTTTGTAAGAAAAGTGTTGGTTTTCAACATCTTACACTTGTCCTTCTTAACCTCAGCTCTTTTTAACAATAATTTGTCCTTTTAAAAATAACAAATATCAGCCTTTTTCTATTCGAACAGTTTATTAGATACAAACATACTTTTCAGGTTTTCTCCTCGTAATTTACATTGTAATGGGATGAAATTTCTTGCTTAATTAACAGCAACCATCGAGAATAGTTTCCCAAATTCACCTCATGCTCCTCCTCCGTTTAGGCCAACCTCACAAGGCCCTCTGCTCCCCAGAGATCAACTGGCCCTGACCCTTGTTCACGTCACTAATGCAGGTCCACGAGTCGTCAGAGGCTGGGTCTCGCCTCCAAAGGGTCACCTTTAATTTCAAAATTAAATTAGAACTTTTATTTATTAACTAAGAAATTTCTTAAAATACATAAGGGTTTTCTAATTTCAATAGCAATTTAAAAAGATGAAATTCCATTATTGGTATTCAATTTAATTAAATAATAATTAAGTTTTTAGATGATTGCAGTAAAAAAAGCCATCAAATTATTCATTTTTCATTCATTCAATTAAATCAAAAATCATTTAACATATTGCCTCGTCTTCGGCTAAAAATTCAAATCAAATTCTATTATAATAGTATCAAACAAATCAATTTTCTATAACTGAATTACATTGCATGAGTAAATCTATGAATATAAATGTTTTTTTAACTGCTTGTAAATTTTTGATACAATTTTATAAATAATTCAAAAATTCTCTAAACGATTAATTAGAAAAAAGTAATGAATCATTTAAGCAATATTTGAATACTTTTTTTTAGAACATGAAGTGGAATGTGCATCAAGTATAATTTTTGAAATTGAATCATACTTTGTTGTCTCCACCGGTGACAGCAAGAATGTTTCCCGTGAGGGACCAACTGACGCTCCAAATGACATCATCAAAAGTGTTGATGACTGTGTGCCGCCAGGCCTCATTTCCGTCCTTGCTCCAGATGATCACCCTTCGATCTTGGGAGCCACTGGCAATGTAGCTGCGGGGAAGGCCAAGTGAAGGAGCCCAAGCCACATCTCTGACCTAAAATTAAAATGGAATGAGATGCCTTCGGAGACAATTGCAATAGATGATAAAAGAACACATTTTCAAATAAACTTTTCTATTTTCATTTGCCATGAACAATGCTTTGGTTTTAAAGATTTGACAATAATAACAAATTAAATAATTAATTTTATCAATAAATTCCCAGATTTGATATAATTATTTTTTTTTTGCTAATTATTAATTATTTATATCTTAAAGTAGACAAACAATTTGTGAGTAAAAATTATCAATTAATTGTGCATTATCTTGAAAATTTAAGTCAATTTCATAATTTTATGTTTAATTTAAGTTATTTGAAATGAGAGAAATAGAAACTCTTATTTTATAAAAAGAATTTAGATTTAGAATCCCAATTTGGAAAAGAATTGGCTGAACAGTGATAAATTTTATTTCATGGTTCCAAATTTAAACAACCATTGCTTCATCTGGCAGTCTCAAGCCAAAAACTTATGAAATAAAATTCATTAGCTTAAAACAATTTTCAAATCAACACAAAACAATTTTTCGGTCAGAAAAATCAGATTAAAGTTTCGAACCCAATCGGAATGACGTTCCAGTTTAGCCTCCTCAACCCAAGAATCACCTTCCTCCCTGTAAAACTTATATTAAAATCTGTTAAAAAACAAAAATCAAACTTGCCTCCAAATCTTAACAAGGTTGTCGCAACCACCGGTAACTATTCTCTTGACTGGTTTGTTGCTGTTGTTGTCAAAGAGAGAATTTGGCGTTGTTGCAGGTGCCCAGCTCACAGCATTGCAACCAATCTGGAAAAATCCATTGAATTCATTGAACGGATATTAATATTGTAAATTACTGTATGAGCATTGACAATTTTCTTTGCGTCCCACTGGCCAGAACCGACATTGGTGAGAATCGAGACGGAACCGTCGGAACTTCCGCAACACAAGATCAGTCCGTACTCGTGAGGCGCCCAAGCCACAGAGTTAACTGGAATAAAAACACAAGTCAATTTAAAGAAATTAAAATATTTTTTGTGATTCGTAGTACTTTCATATTTTTTTTTTAGATTCATTCTAAATTTTAATTTAAATCAACATGGAAATCTTTGAAAGAAATTGTAATTTTAAGGTCACATGTCCATTGATTTGAAGTTGGAAATAAAATTAAGAAAAATTTCTTGTTTAGTCCAGGAAATTATTAATTTATTACTGATTTTTAAAACGTTTTAGAAATCCGTTGGAAAATTTTAAAATTTGTCATTTTTATGTAAATATTGAATTTATTTCCATGTGTTTTGAGTTAAAAGAGGTTGGATAAGTTATGAATAATAACTTTTAGCCTAGTGAAAGTTAATTTGATTAAATCAATCAATTTGGAACGTTGAGGAAATTTTACCGGAGGACTCGTGGTTGGAGTACTCGTAGAACTTGACCCACTTGTCGTTGTTCTCCTTCCAGATGATGACCTTTCGGTCGTAGGAGCACGAGGCGAGCAGGGAGCCGAACTTGGGGTGGGCCCAGGCCACCTGCCACACGGGCCCTTCGTGGCCCTTGAGGTCGGCCACCAGGGTCTGCGTGCCGTTGCGCACGTCGTACACCTTAACGCTCATGTCCGACGAGCAGGTGGACAGCCGAAGGCCGCAGTAGTCCATCTTGGCGTCGTGCACCATGTCCTCGTGCCCAGTGTCCACCGTGTTGATCACAGACACCATCTTCCTCGCTGCAAATTCAAAATAAATCGTTAGCAAGAAACAAACTAAAATTGAGTCATCATCAAGTTTTATAAAATTGAATTTGATTTCGCGGACTATTTTCTGTTGGATTTTTTTTATGGTGGAATTGTTTAAAGATGGGGAATTTGTGAAACTGAGGGTAAAGTTCACACTATTTAGAAAATATTTGATGAAAATTTGGTCGGGACTTTCCAAAGCGTGGACGGCCACCGGCTTTTCGATCATTTTCAGCCGAGATTTGAAAATAAACCGAATGGATTGCACGCTTTGCAGTTGGTTTGTAATTAATTTAACTAATTGGAATGCTATTTGATACTTAGTTTTGAATAATTACCGAGAAAATGGACAGAGTTTTAAGGAATTTCCAGCCGCGACAACAAACAAACCGCCCAGCTGTGCCTGATGAGCTGTCAGCATGCGTTACCGATCCTCTCCTGCCACCTGGCGGATGAAAGGTGGAACTATTTGTCTTTTTTCATTTAGGTGATCCGGCGGCGCGTGGCGCGTGCCGTGTCATTGATTTGCTAATTAAATCGATGCACCCAATATTCTTCATATTCTTCAGAATACAAATTAAATTAGTAACAAGGAAATGGACACATTAAGCAAAATTATAAAATATAGTAAAAATGCTGTTTTACATAATGTAAATAATACAAATTGAATCATAAAATATATCATGAAACAGCTACAGCAGCATGCAGCATTAATTATTATGGGATAGAAATTAATCTTCCTAGATTAATAAGGATATAATTATATAAAATTGAATGATTCAAGGCACAATAAAAACTGCTATAGTGATGGTGCTTTTATGCCGAATAATAAATAATTAAAAAAAATTAGATTCTTTAAATGAAATTGTTTGTGTAACAATTAGTACAAATAAAGCAACAAAAATTATTAAAATATAATATAATGATATCGATTTATGGCCTCTTGGTGCTTGTTACAGCGGTTATTTTTTTGTAATAATGAAGGAAATAGCTGAAAAAACTTAATTCATTTAAAAGTATTATATGACTTATTTATTCAGTTCAGATCAATTTTTTAACATTAATAAGCCTGGTTATTGATTTTTTATTTTTTTATTTTAAAGAAATTTATTTTTAATAGCTTCAAACATTGAATTAACACAGAGGTAATTTTATAATTCTAAATATTTAAAAATCAGAAAAAAATCTAGACGTGGAAGACAAATAAATTCATGTAATGTTTGTAAAAAAATCTGCAATCCTCTCATTTATTTTTAAAGCCACTTCAAACGAGCGAAATTATGAAATTCCTATTTGCGTTTGATTCTTTTGTTCTCCCCAATTTCAGGTATGAAATTTGGTTCAAATGAAGCTACCAGGCGTGCACATCTGCTAGGGTGCACAAAAGAGGAGCGTCGTTGCCACGAGCTATTTATGTTTGGAACAACAAGAGCGTGTTGTGTTATATAACGCAGGTATAAGGCATTATTATTTATTGAAAATTACGCCCGGGTCCTTTCACGGCAGATTCTTCCTCCCTTGCGCGGAAAATGAAGCCCGGCGGCTCTGAGTCTCTTTTGGTGGAGCAGGTGGTTGCGTTTCTTTGCGCAAATAATAACAAAATACATATTATTGTATGTGTGCGTGGTGTATTATAAAGAACTGTCAGGCGCAGCAATGTGTTTTTTGCCGCCGTCGGCTCTCGGCGCGCGATTTTCCAAGCTCTCTTTGGGCACTTTGAACTTTGCACTGCGTTTTGTGCAAAACCACTCTGTGAAATGTGGAAGCCGACGAATTGCACGCCAACACACGCTTGGATAATACACTGCTCTGTGTGTGTCGACTCAATTAAAGAAAAAAAAACTACAAAGTAAAATAAAATATATTAATGCTCAAAGCTCAAAGGAAAACAGCAGGAGAGGTTCCTGCGACTTGCTTCTTTAACATTAAAATAGTTAATTTTTTCAGTATTCATGAATGCTTTCTGCTTATGTGCTTTGTTCTGTAGACTTTTAAATTCAGCAGTCTATTTTAACTAATACTTCTCTTATTGAGGCCTAAAAATTAGGTAGAATAAGCGAAATCCAAACTTTTCAAAGTATATTTTCAGCATGAAAGAAAAGGAGGTCAACAATCTGATAGATAAAAATATATTAGTTTCTAGTCTTGATTTTTACTTAAATTTTTATTGGTTTATTTGCCAAGATTTTAAAACACAAAATCATTTTAGAAAAAATTTCCACAGAAAGTCAATAACAGATTTAACTCTGAAAGTCGATTTCAAGATTAGATTAATAAAATTTTTAGTCGGTTTCTTTCAATCTAAAAATAATACTAATAAAGAAACAAATAAATGGCCCAAAATCACTCTTTTATAGTTTCAAGCCGACTGATCGTTTGAACGATATTTTTGCTCAATTTTAAACAATTTATAAATTGAAATTAACAAGAGAAAAAATACAATATGTTTATTATTTAATGAAAACTTAATAATATCAACTCTTGTTCCAATATACACAAGGATAATAGGCTCATATGTGATACAATAATTTGCTTGATAGCGTAATGTGGTGCGAAGAAGCATCGCCTCTCTGATCTCTATTTTGCCCTCACGTGATATAATCGATCGTCGGCGACACACAGAGGGAAAGAGGCCGGATTCTTTCGCTTGGTTAATGAAATTCCTGACATTTTGATCGGATTTTGTCATCGCAGCTGCTGGAACATGGACCCTTGCTGAAATCTTTTCCGCCTAGGGAGCACATCCCCATCCGCTCTCACATTCAAATCTCTCGCACTTCTTGCGTCCCCCGCGCGCACACTTTGATCTCTTCTTTGCCGAAAATAAGCGCGGATGACACAACAGCAAAAACTAGACCTTGTCGATTCCGTGCTTTTTAAACGGAGAGGAAGCTTTGTGCTGCACGCGGCGACGCCAGAAAGGGAGAGAGAAACACAAGTGCCACTTCAGAGACTTGTTTGTTTGGGATTTGCGCCGAAATATTGGAGCTTTTCTCAAATCAATGTATACCAAAGTATGACTATAGCTTCTACTTTGAATTTTGCTTTTTCCTCACTGATAAAAATATAGGTTTTAAACTTTTTCGCTAAGTGCTTTCAAGAAACAAAAACTAAACTGCAATATTTGAAACTGTTTTATTTTACATTTATTGCTGTTGGAAATAGTTAGAACGGTTAGAACAATAATTTCTTGAATCTCATATTTTTTTTTATAATTTAATTTTTTAAGAAAAACGGACATTTGAATGAAAGTGCCTTACATGGTTAAATAATGAGGTTGCTTCGCTATGCACGTTTAATTGAATAAAATGAAGCAGCACAGATTGTCCTTGTTAAAAAAATAACAAAAGAGCCCTGGTCGTTTAGCACACGGTCTGTGACATTTTGTTACGACTGACGAATCAAGTCAAAAGAATTGTTTAATATTTCCTCTTCGAATCAAACGCGTCGAATCATGAATGTAATTAAATTTTGCAAAATAGATTATTATGTACAAAGGTATGTATTCTCCGACGCAAGTCACGTTTGCAATTTTGAAGCATAGTGTGCCGTGGAAAAGGCCCAACCGAGGCCCGCCGGAGGGCATTTCAGACCCTTCGCCCGCCGCTCTCTCTCTCTCTCTTCATCACAGCCCACGCAGACAAACAACCCCGTCCAGTCAGATGAATGCCCTCCTGTTTGCCGAGGTGACCGAGCCGCTTTATTAGCAAAGCAACCCTCAACCAAATTGGTATGCCGTGCACGCAGGGAATATATTCATATTTGTGTGTACCGTGCAGCGTTGGCTCTCCGGCCGACTCGGGAGAATAACTCGTATATCAGAATGTGATATTGGATGCTGTGGCCGCCGCAATCTGCTCACAATGACAGCAAGCCAACACTGATATACGTAGACAATATTGTTAGCATCCTAATGTTATTTGTTGCAGTTATTATTGGATAATTCTTATTTGATTAAAATCAAAAATACTTTGTGTGTTTCAGCAGAATTGCAAGCAAGATTTTTAAAAACTCCTTGTAATATAAATTATTTTCAGACAATCTGGTTCCCTATATTCACACAAAAAAAATTTTTTTAAATCTTCAAGAAATTGAAGTTTTTATTGTAATCACACATCAGTTCAAAGTTAATGATATTCTGAACTTGCATATAATTATGTTAATTTTGAATTAGAACTATTAGAGGTAAAATTAATTTTAACTCTGCACCTCAAACTGTCCCTTATAAATCCTAAAGAAATGATATGATAATATTTAAACTAGAACGTATTAAATTAAAAGGATGTTGTGGTAAGTATCAACAAAATACATACTAAACTTCGCCAAATTTTCCTTATTTACAATACTATTAAAAATTTATTTATAAACAAAACTTGTAATTTGACAAGCAGTCACTAATTAAAAGCTCTGGGAATATGTACATTAATTTGATTTACACAGACGAGCTCTCGAACACTCGCCAGAGTCAATTACAATTAATAATTAGCTTAATAATTAGAGAAACACCATCAACTGTAAATGTTTGACGCGCCATCCCAAGGGAGCCTACCAGTCAGGCCTGAAAACATACAAACTCAAACATTAGACATCAAATTCAATCTGATAAATTATTACATTTAAATTCATTTGCCAATCAACAAAAAAAAATTCAGTTTAATTAATTTCTGAAAGGGGAGAAAAAACTTTGTATTTACCTATTCCTTGCTCAAGCTCCGAACATGCAACACAGGTTGGGCTTTTTCTTGATGCACATGCTCTCGACGTGGTCCTTGCTGCTGCAGAGGAAACAGGCCAAGCGTCCGGAGTAGTACCTGTTGGGGTGCCTCTTGCTCATCACGTCGCGCGCCCTCAGGTACCAGTTGTGTCGAAGGGCAATGCCTGCAACAAAAACGTCATGAAAGTTAATATTTGATCAATTTCAGTATATTTAAAAAATGGAAACCTTGCAAAATTTTATCACTTTCAGTTTTTAGCAAGAATGAAAAGTAAAATAGGGAATTATTGAATAAAAAAACCACAATATACCCAGCATATAACTTTGAAAACACCACCCTAATGATAAAAAAAATTACGCTTCCTCTTATGGAAATAGTTGAATTAAGAATTGCAATAAAATAAATTTTTGGTTATTTTGTGTCGTTTCTGCAATTGAATTGTTAAAAACCCCATACATAATCTATTGAATTTACTCCACCCAAATTAAAACATCTATAAAATAAAATTAGACTCGCATGCAATGTGAATGTTTGACAGTAGTGCCTAATGAAAAATTAAGAAGGCACCCAAAATTGCCAAACAATTTGATTTCTTTCACAGTATTGAAACGCCACAGCCGACAATAAGTGGCCGGCATGGAGCTGGTACTGATACATTACGTAAAAAAATTTTGGAAAATCTTTGGATTGGTAATTCAAAATTATATATTATATGAGATTTAAA